TCACATTCTCAAATTCAAATTTCATTTACGCATATAGCATTTACAACAACTGTTTTATGTAGTTTGAATGCTATTCTTCTCAGAAAGGACCCCGCAATATTTAAATGGAAATTGGTTACCCGTGATATTTGGATGAAATTTAAATATGTTATTGGGAATGCCGTAAGCAACATTTTTTACCCTGGGCACAACCCTGTATATATGACAGGTGAGGCGTAGTTAGCTGTCAAATATTGGAATCTTATACCCAAAAGCAGAGTAACTATGGCAGATTTTGATGAACAAAAAATCTATTCCTACTAAGTCAGCCAAGTTAAGTTGAAAAATGTCAACCATTTTAACACCTGTCAAAATCCTGCCAAACGGCAGCACTCATCTTTTCCAGTTTTCAATATTTTATGTTTTCATTTGACATTTTTAACTTATATGTAAATTCTAAATTCAAAATTTGAAAAAAAAATGACAGAACTGTCAAAACCTGTCATTTGTTTTAGTAAAAAAAAATACTCTAATTTGGTCGTTTCTCGTCTTAAGTTAGTTTATTGGTGATAAAACATAGAACAAAGTTCATGCACGTCACATTTTGACAGCTGTTATTTTTTTTTTTCAATTTTTGAAATTAGAATTTACATACAGGGTGTCCCACAGTGGATGGCGTATTAGACGTTTATGGAGAACTAAAAAGCGGATAATTTGAAAATTTGGCAACCGGGATAAACGACCATGATGACTTTAAAAATATTTTTGACCATGCGGTGTTGCCGCTTCTACTCTAAACTAGTGGCAGCATCGCTAGTTTAAATAGAACACCCTATATCTGATTGCATATTTGGATTCTATGTAAAATTCTGAGCAGATTTCATGTGATATACCCTATACCTAAGTTCAACTGTTTTGGACATATTGACACTTGAAAATTGACTTTTTGCAACTTTGACAGGCTGTAAAACCTGAACGGTTAATTCTAGAGGAAAACCGATTTTACATTCCTATCTTAGATTTTGATAAACTATCATTTGACACCAACTTTGAACTTAACCGGAGATTAAATTTAACTGAAATTTTTAATCATGGATTTAATTCAAAGTTGGTGTCAAATGATAGTTTATAAAAATCTAAGATAGGAATGTAAAATCGGTTTTCCTCTAAAATTAACCGTTCAGGTTCTACAGCCTGTCAAAGTTGCAAAAAGTCAATTTTCAACTGTCAATATTTCCAAAACAGTTGAACTTAGGTATAGGGTATATCACATGAAATCTGCTTAGAATTTTACGTAGAATCCCAATATGCAATTTAATACGGGGCGTTCCATTTAAAATAGTGATGTTGCCACTAGTTTAGAGTAGAAGCGGCAACACCGCATGGTCAAAAATATTTTTAAAGTGTAGATCATGGTCGTTTATCCCAGTTGCCAAATTTTCAAAATGATCCGCTTTTTAGTTCTCCATAAACGTCTAATACGCCATCCACCGTGGGACACCCTGTATAAGTTAAAAATGTCAAATAACAACATAAAATATTGAAAACTGGAAAAGATGAGTGCTGCAGTTTGGCAAGGTTTTGACAGGTGTTAAAACGGTTGACATTTTTCGACTTAACTTATTGGTCGACTTAGTAGAAATAGATTTTTTGTTCATCAAAATCTGCCATAGTTACTCTGCTTTTGGATTCAAGATTCCAATATTTGACAGCTAACCACGCCTCACCTGTCATATATACAGGGTTGTGCCCATGGTAAAAAATGTTGCTTACGGCATCCTCAATAACATATTTAAATTTCATCAAAATATCATGGGTAAGCAATTTCCATTTAAATATTGCGGGGTCCTTGTGCTGAATTTTCTCCAGCTTTTTTCTATGTACCATCGTCACCAAAAGTAACTGGGACAGCATCACATTAGCTCTTGTCCTATATAAATTATATTGTCAAATATTTGTCAAACTATGCATTAAATGCATTGAAATGAATGACAGTAGAATTAGTCCAGGAGATTATTATGCATTATTTGTGTCCCAGTTACTTTTGGTGACGATGGTACATCATAGCATGGTTGCCGAACGCACTTGGATATTCCAGGATTAAACGAACAAATGCACAGTAAAGCAACTTGAATGTTAAAAGATTCTCAAATCCTCGCAGCGTTCAAAAGACAAACCCCAGCAGACGCACTGCTCTGTTGGTTATTACATCAATGTGATGAGTAAAAGTGAATTCAGAGTCAAACCAAACACCGAGATCCTTCTTTAGGGACTGTCTCTCAAGCTGTTCAGAATTAGGCAAATAATTGTAATTGTAAGGATTTTTAGATCTACTCAATGAGACTACTTTACATTTATTTACATTCAAGGAAAGGTTATTATTGGTACATCATACAGAAAAACGATTCAAGTCCTCCTGCAGCAACCGACAATCATATATTGTTTGTATAAAGGCAAATTTAAACAACTTCATAACTTTAATTTAGTGCGTAATTCACAATTTAGTGCGTAAGCTTTTAAGTTAAATTTATTAATTTCTATGGAGGCGTTTATACATCTATTTAATGCTTAGTTCATAATTTAGTTCATAATGGATAACCTTAAAAGTTCCCAACTTTTAACTTTTATGCATTAAATTACGAAAAAACTGGACCTTTCGAGTTCTGTCAGTGTCAAATTTCAAAATAATAGAATATTAATGACATTTCAAAAATTATGTTTTAAATTATGAAGTTGTAACTGGGGTTTTGAGTTATGTATTAAATTACGTATTAAATTATGAAAAAATTACGACTTAAATTTATCAAAAGTTGTTTAAATCTGCCTTAAGTCTGAATGGCTTTAAATCAGCGAAAGCAAGAAATCGACTGTTGGACATAGTCTTTAACATCATTGATGAAGCAGTTGAATACGAAATTTGAGAGGTGTCCGCCCTTGGGAAATATCTGAGGAAACTCTCGCTTCGGATGAAATATAGCTTTTTATTTTTACTGCCTGCGTCCTACCTCTCAACATATTCTCAAACCAACTGACTAGCTCTCCATATATTCCAATAGCTTCTAGCTTTTTCAACAAGATGCCATGATCAACCCTGTCACCCAGACACTTCTTATTTTCCAACAGAGACTGCTCATAGCATATAGATTGGAGATTGTTGATCTTGATTTCACAAAACCATGCTGCTCGCTGACAATTGTGTGCCCAAAGTGAGGTGTTATTTTATCTGCCACTATTGATTCAAAAATCTTAGATATCAAAGATATTTTTGAAGCAGCACAATAATTTTTTATATCAGAACGATCTCTATTCTCTATCAGGCGTTTCATTACATTTTTTCTAACACACGGGAAACATTCCATGCTTAAAGATAAGTTTAAAATTTCACAAAGAATTTCTGCTAAAACATTTGCAATTTTGTAATAAAATGACAGGTATTCCATATAGACCTGGTCCCAATGTTTGTTTCAAACTACAAATTTCATTGATTATACAACTCACTGTACATTATTCCCATATGACACGAGAGGCTTAAGTGATAAGCCTTTTGGGATTATCGCGCTTGGTGGCAATATTGTCAATTTGTCATTAATGATTATAAAGATTGATAAAGTATTGAAGTTTAGTTCGTTGTATAACCTTTTGAATACCACTCGATGTTTCAGGATTACCTAATACTTTTACCTGACACTCAACGCGTTACCAGCAACACCACTCCTCCTTCGGAGTCGTGGTGTTGCTGCGTGACGCGTTTCGTGACAGGTAAAAGTATTATCCGGTAATCCTGAAACCTCTTGTGGTATTACATTCGAAAACATCAATCACAAACAGTTGTAAAAAACCAAGACTAACAAACTTATTATAGACAAACAACACATTTGTATCCCCATATTCCGAGTTAACCTGAAGAGAAATTATTGTTAAACATTTCAGAAATCTCCTCTGGATGATTACTGGATTCTTCATTGAGAGTCATTGACTGGGCGTATTCAGAGTTACCCTTTCTAGAGTTTACAAAATTCCAAAAATATTTTTTTTTTTCTCTCAACTGCGCTTCCATAGACTTAATATAGCTTTGATGACTGAAAGATGACATATCGGGTCTTCAAAAAAAAAAAAACAATCAAAGATTGCTTTGGTTACGAAAACCTATGTCGCATTACTGTTTCTTTATTCGTCAGGATTTTTGACATATCATTTTGACATTAAAGTTCATTGACAAAATTTAAAAAAAATATTGCTAAGACATACGTTTACAAAACCATAGCAATCTTTGATTGTTTTTTTTTTGAAGACCCGATATCTCTACACTGTTGCCCTAATTTGCAAAAACAGCATAGTCTTGAAGAGATTGTGAAGCTTTGAATATCTTGTTTGCTTTCTTTTTCTGCAAAATTAGATCTTTCAACTCATTATTGGGTGTCGTATATCCACACATGGGAACAAATGACTTAACCTCATGGTAGAGTACCTATGTCATGAAATTCCGAAACCACCAATTCCAAATCCGTACACTCAGATACGAAGGACCAATCAACAGTAGACAGAAAGCAATTTAGATCACGATAATTCGCACATTTAAAATTATGATGATCACATGACATATTCTTTGGTTGACTATTATACAAATTAAAACTGCATTTAAAGGCTGGATGTGGAGCATCCAGTCTTAGCAATGGCTTATCACACATGGAAACTTTATTATTTACAATGATTAGAAAACAGTAAATCTAGAAAATTACCATATTTATTTGGAATCTGAATATTCTGATACAATCCCAGGTATGCAACACAGTCAGAGATCGCCGAAGATTCCATGGAGAGAGCTGGCAGTGTTTCATTTTCACCATTCATCCAAGATATTTTTGGAAAACTGAAATCACCATAAAGAAAAATATCTGTGAAGGCGTTCGCGTCCACCAAGTGCATAACTCTAAAATTACTCACAACTTAAAGAAACTCTTTCAAGCCTACTAAATACAATATTGTCATATTTCCTCCTACAAATAATTTCTTGATTCCAGACAAAGACTGGGCAGACCGATACAACCAGTAGCCTCAACCAATAGCAGCGACGGTGACGTCGACAGCGCAGACGATGAATCTGACAGTAATCCACCTCCCCCAGCTTTAGTACGACCTCTAAGGAGGCCTTATAGACACGAAACTCAGTTGTGACAGGAAATATTTTACAGCTTTTTGTTTGGACTGTACAGATCACATCACAATGTGACTAAATATTTATAGTGTGATAGAAAATCCGTCTAATTAATTTATAAAAATTATAGCCAGGGTTCTATAGAGATGTTGTAGAGTATATTGTTTTTTGTACAAAGCCATTCTTTTATATGCCATTTACAAATTTTTTATAGTAAATATATTTTTTTTATAAGATATTTTTGTAATATTTAATTCTTTTTTTAATTTATTTTTGTAAATTTCTTTTTATATTTTTTAATAATATACAATTTTATAATTTTTCTTATTATTTTTTTTTTTTTGACCACCCTTTATCTTTGATTTATTAATAACAAATTATTACTTTCAATAGAAAACAGTGCTGCTGGATTGTAATTTTCAAGAAAAATGCTTATACCTAGAGTGCTTGTACATATTCAAGTTTCTATTAAATCTTGGAGCAAATTCGAGAATAAAACTTGTACTGTCCCCCTAGGAAAATGTTTAGCATTCTCATAAGGCCTCTTTAAGTTATAACCAATTCCCTTTTCATATACAAGTTTCAAGCAAAACTTTTGAAAACTACCTGTAGCAAAGGGTAGTATCAATGGATCAACTAATCTTTTTAGTAAAACTAGTTGTCGGCTTTGATAAATCTTTATCATGTGCTTATGTGCAGGATTACGGAACCATAAAAACCTCTTTTTTTTCAATTAATAGTTCTGCAACACATACAATAAATATTTCCCGCATTAAACAATATAAAATAATCAAATTTTTTTTTTCAAAAAGTACAATAATGACTCTTATCTGTGTTGCCCACATGTTATGCCACTGGTTCCCTGTCCAGGGTTCAACGAACGGTCGTTGCCGTTCTTCTAGCATGGGCCTCTCCATTCTCATGGGTACTTCTGGTCACTGTTATGCCGTCTTCGACAGACTTTTTTTGGGTACCAACAACGTGTTTTCGACATTTTATTCAATGGGATGGGCCAAATGTAAAAAAGTTCAACTGGCTTCGACCAACAAAACTGGTTTATTGATAAAATATATTTAGATGAAATTGAGTTTTGGAGGCACCTATACTTACCAGATCTTTTCATATTTTTTAAAATTCTTCTAACAAAGTAGTTATTATACAGGGTGTCCTTTAGATAAAGTGACATATTTTGCACGTAAATATCTCGAAAACGAGAAAATATAACGGGATACGGTTTGTTCTGGAAGAATGAGAATTTTTTCAGGGTTTTTTCACAGTACTGCCAAATCCTGAAACTGGCTGAAATTTGCTTTCACAGACATGCGATTTTTTGAAACAAAATTACTGCCCTATTTTCAATGAAACATCCTGAATATTTTGTCATCGTCAAAATTTTGTCATCTGCTGAATTTTTTACTTCACAAAAATTTATAACTTTTATTCTCCCTGAACAACCCGCATCATCTCTTTATCCTTTCTCGTTTTAGAGATATTTACCTGAAAAATGTGTTAGATATCTAATTTAAAAAAAAAATAGTAGGAAGGTACCTACAAGAAGTAATTTTCTGCATATTTCATAAAAAATAATGTCCAAACATTCAACTAGGTACCTATAGTACCAAGAAATTTATTTATTACCTTTTCATGTAAGCATATTTAAATTTTAATTAACCACACGCTATTACTCAAATAGGAGAAAGTACCTTTTCGGTATCTCCTCCTCCTAGCCCCATTAAACACTGTGCATCAGTAGTTGGTACTTACAAGCCCATTTATAGATTATATTCTGGTATTTAATGAACGGTCGTATTTTTAGGCTAATTAGTCAGTACCTACCGGGAAATTGATTATTAATTGCCGACTTCTGGTTTAAAGTTTAAAGTAGGTGCACGTACACATCCGCAAAAAGTATATAGGCAATTTTTACTTGCAGGATGTTCTCTGTAATGACAGTGCAATATATATTTAATTAGAAAAATATGTGTTGATTATTTATAAACAAAAATAACTTTGATAAAGGTTAAAACCATTCATCAACATCGAGGGGGAGGCGGGTAATCAAAATAATCTTGAATGTAGGTTCTAATTATTGAAAGCATAAGTTTTCGACTCATACATTTGCAAAAATGTATCTAGAAATACTCAGGCATTCTTTAAATAATCTTTCTCTCGATTGACTGATCCAAGGATGTAGGAGTATCATATGATTCATATGACTATTCAATAGGGATCTTTTCTTTTTTTATGTAAGCCAGTAGGTAGTTTGTGTAAGGATGATCTATTATCCAGCCATTGCCTAACAAAAACGATTTAGTGCGGATGAGGTATGTGCTCTATCACTATCTTCATTGCAAATAAACTAAAACCTATAGGTATAGTCCGACAAATACCATTTTAAAGTCACGTGATACTGGTGGCAAAAAATGTATGTCCATTGATTATGTCGTTGATATCACCTACAAAAAGCTACTGGTGGTTAATTACTATTGAATTTTAATATATGTTCCCACTAGCATTTTACAAACGCGTTTCTGAAGTAGTATTGACCAATCAGAGGGCAATTTTAATACTTGCAATTGTTGCAAGACTCACTTTTGTTGCATCTGCTGTCTGTTGTAATAAATTCTGAACTTGAACTGGGTACCCGTTTTCTATTTGCTTCTTTTCGAGTTGGAAAAAGGTTAATTTAGTCAAAATTATTAGCTGTGTTTGTTCGTTGTATTATTTTCGAAAATAACTTTGACAAACTAATTGATGACAGTGACGGATTCTATTTCAGGTAAGAATATTATGAACAATAATTAGACAGCAATTTTTTTGTCAATTTTACTATCACCGCTGTTTGAGATGTATTCAACAAGGATAGAGAAAAATCACGTGACTTTAAAATGGTATTTGTTGGACTATAGATAGGTATTTGTAAGTTTCCAAGTTCATCATTTTGGTATTCCAATTCATCAATTATCACAAGCTCAATCACATTTTGGTATCAATATTAGAAGAAAGTTATAGATGCAATTTGTGCAAAACGGTGAGTATTGAATAGGTAGACAAGGTACAATTGAATGGCCAACAAAATCTCCGGACCTTATGCCATTAGATTTTTTAGGGTTATTCAAATCAGTGTTGCCAGGTCAGTTTGATTGTTTTCAGTAGAAAACAAGTCTCAAATTCAGTAGAAATCAGTAGATATCTGGAGTCAGTTATGGGTAACTCGTTTATTAGCTATAGTTACATTACATACATATGCATCTTATATCTTAAGGATTAAAATTCGATATTAGGGAAGCATAGGTTACTTATATATATACAGTGACCGTCAAAAAGTTTGCAACAAATGGGAAAATATTTTATTATTAAAATATCAAAAAAAATGTTACGTGGGATCAATTCAGCATACCTATCAACAAAAAAAAGCACTGAGACCATGGGCGTCGTTTGCGGGGGGGGCAAGGGGGGCATTTGCCCCCCCCCCCCTAGAAATAGTCTTTTGAACAAGAAAGCAGTAAAAGAGAGTTCGTATTCGTATTCGTATCGGTTTTTTCAATTTTTTCAAAATTTGTTAAGTACTTATTTTATAGTCTGGCAACGGTGTGTATCTTGCAATAAGTGCAAGAGAGTTCCTATTTTATATTTTTAAGAAAAAAGTGTTTGGTTTTACGTCTTAACTATTATTTATCTTTTGATTGAGACTAAAATGTTTATGTTTATGAATGATTTTTCTGTTTTGTTTTAAGCTTTACCTGCAGTAACAGTTTAAAATATTTTTTTCCCTAGCTACTGGTAAAGTAGCCTTTAATCTACTAAATATTGATGCCGCGAGACTCGAGACTGGTCTCGTCTCGTCTCGACTTTTCGAGTCGAGACTGGCTTTTGGTCTCGTCTCGTGAAGTCTCGACGAGACGGGACCAGACTCGGCGAGAGTCTCGTGTAGTCTCGAGATAGAGTCTCGTGTAGTCTCGAGTCTCGAGATTACACTTAAAATTTTTCTTTCATAGCTTTATTATTGGACTATTCTGGGCCATTTTAATATGAAATCAGTAAATTTAATATCACGGTTACTCTTTACTGTGATTTTTCACTAATTGCTTTTTCACTGTGGCAGTTTGGACTTCGGTTATAATATGGAAATAAAAACCATAAATACAGGGTATCCGAAAAATAGCGGAAATGCTCTCCACTTAGTAGGGGACCCTTTGCGAAACCCTAGAAAAATAATTAAATTAAAAAAATCCTACTGCAGCATTATTCTTGGTAATATGAAGAGGTAGATGTGAAAATTCACCTTCAAATTCTTCAGGTAATTACATGGGTATTTAATTTAATTTTCTGACATATTGTCAACGGGATATTTTCAGTGTTGCCAATTTTAATAAATATTAAAATGCAAATAACATTCTTAAGAATGCCACTAGATTTTTTAAAGTATTTTTCTGGGGTTCCTTGTAGGTTCCTCACCACGCAGAGAAGAGTTTTTACGCTATTTTTTGAACACCCTGTATAACTCGAGACCAGACGAGACCACTCGAGACGAGACGAGACTTTGGTACTCGAGACCGAGACTAAGTCACGGTCTCGTCTCGAGATGTCGAGACGAAACGAGACCAACCCTAAGTCTCGTCTAGTCTCGTCTCGCGGCACCACTACTACTAAAAATAGTAGATAAAGTAGTACTTTAACCGCAAGGGTAGATTAAATGATACTTTAACAGCAAGGATAGATAAAGACGTTTATTTACGACTAATGTATAATGTGCGTATTATATTTGTGATTTTGGCAGTATAATGACATATGTTATTCCTCCAGGGATTAATGACGAGTAGCGGGATTAATGGTCATTATTCCACAAAAGTGTCAGTGTCAAACGTGTAGTGCTTGTGGATTTGTATTGAAAATTATGAGACGGATGAAATTTGTTCATTGAAAATCTCAAATAAATTAATTTGTCGTAAATAAAGTAGAGTATACTACTCGCAATAATGGCTATTATTCCCTAAGAATGTTACTCCCTCGCCGCTAACGCGGCTCAGTTCGTAATAATCCTCGGGAATAATAGCTATCATTATTGACTCGTGGTATAATCTACTATTATTTTGTCAAAAATATGTAAATATTTTGTTTTTTATTTATTTGTCAAAGTTTGTCAAACCAATTTCTACTCATGCAAAAGTGTTCGACTCAAATAATG